CGTCAGCTTTTAGACCGGATGGTTCACCAGTTTACTGTGTTTTTTAAACTTGAACACATAATAACCCATCTAATGAAATTTGTTCAGTTTTAAAGTGTTTGTTGTACAATCATTTAGAAATTGAGGTCGAAGCCAAATTATCGGCAGCTCTTCCCATTTGTTCGCGTTGTGTTCAGGTCCAGACGGACATCAGTGTGGACACCAAGCAGCAGACTCTGCAGGGAGTTGCCTTCCCCATTCACAAAGATGCTGTTGACGCTCTGGCACATTTTAAGGAAAAGAAAATCAACTATGTGCAACTGGTGAGTTCCTAACAGAAAACAATGTCCAGCTAAAGTGGTCATGCCTCTCTTTCACATTTTTGTGATGCGATTGTTATTACTGTCCGTTCTGCTTTTGCAAAACAGTTTAAGCTCAGTCGGCTCAGACGGTTAGCATCTGTTAACAGGGCTCTTTGAGGTTGCTAAATTAGGGCTGTCACGATTATTAATACTGCAGGACAATAAATTATCCCAGTAATTATTGCGATAAATGACAATGTTTTGAGGCCATTTTCAAGTATTGATAGCGGTATGATATTGCAAGTTTTTTTTTTTTTTGTCTCACACAAACTAATTTTGCAAACAACAGTCATCACTGGAACTGGAAAATATTTTAAATATAGAAAAAAAAGAACTGGAACCGTAAATAAAATGGATGGTGAGATCTGTGTGAATAAAGTTACCCTTCAAAAAAATATGAATCATAAGAATTAAAATTCTCCTCCGAATTTTGATTTATCATGTGATTAACTGATTAATCGCATATTGCTACATGCTTAGCCACAGACTCTCCAAACTTTGACTAGGCCACTTCAGATCACGACTATCCTTAAATCTGAGTCATTTATTATATTATTTAATTCCACAATAGCTTATTGTTTTATTTTTTCCCTCATCCTGCTTTGAACTACTCAGCAACTTTATCCCTGACTTATCTGTTCCTGGAGCTCTGTGAAGCAGTTTCTTTGTTTTTCTCCACTCATATTATCTTACAAACCTCAGAGGCTCTCTTAGAACGGTTGTATTATCATGTTCCTTTCACTTCACAAATATTGCTTTTTTTTGGTTCTGGTCTATCAGGAAAAACCCTCAAAAATACTGAGATAAGAAGATAAGAGTTCAATGGTGAAGAACATTTCTGCAAGAAACATTAAGTGTATTCCAACAGTGAACTTGCTTCTTAAATACCTCTCACTTTTGTTACCTTATAAACAGAAAGAAGCATTGCTGGTCAGAAGCTGTTTTTGCTCTTTTTTTACAAACACAATGAGTCAGTCTGTTTTTCTTCTTTTTTGTTGTTGTTAAAAAAGCCTTTGTTTCATTGCTCATTAAAATTCAGTGTACCCATGGCTCTGATTAGATCAGTCCAAAGTACAAAGGAATAATTGAAGCCTGTTATTCTGTGATCTTCAGAGGCAAACAGTTAGGTCTTAGATTTGTTGTTGTTGTTATTATTCTATTAAAACAATTCTCCTGACCATAACTTAGTTAAGCATTTCACTCCAAAGAAAAGGTTTCATAAGTGGTGTTTAATTGACATTTCTTGGGTTTTAAAATTCAGTTTAATTGGTTCGCTCTGTAGGGAAAATAAACATAAAGCTACGTGAGCAAGCTGTGAGAACTTTCCACCTTCAGTCTGTTTAAAAGTTTTCTTTCATTTTTGACCCACCACAGTTTGTGTGTGAGCCTAGCCGAAGGCAAGCTCCTTTTTGTACTCAAACATGTAACCAAACACAAACACGCACGCACACTCTGCACCCTGGATGCTCCTGCAAAAACATTTAATATAATTTACCATTCAGGAATAAACTGACTGGCATGTAAATAAGCAGTAGAAAACCAGTTTGAATGCAAATAACATCTGATCGTGTTGTGTGTGTTCGTGTTCTGCCGTCCTGGATGGGCCACCCAGAACAGAAAGCAGGCTACAGATGTTAATTCTCTCAATATTGAAGTTTGCGATGAAAAGAGGAAGAGGACGATGAGGAAATGGACTGTAGACACACAGCAGTCTGAAGACACCTATTTTTGTTTTTTTTCTAGTAACCTTGTCAACAGAGCTCCAGTTTAGGAAATTGTGTTTGCTCATACTTTTTGCAAAAAATCTTTTACCCTTTGAAAAACGATTTCCCCTTAACAAGTTGCACATTTGGAAGGAAAATCCACTTAGCAGTTCTGTTCATTAAAAACACTTTTTGGTGGAAGCTGTATGATCACCCGGGATGGATTCTCCCTCACCGGAAACACGAGACAGAGAGATGTCAAAATGAGATTCTTTCGCCAACACCACCAAACTGGTCAACATCCGCTTCAGCCAGCTTCACCTCAGTCCTGCTTTTTTTTGGTTACCGTCACCTTTTTTTTTTTTTTTTTTTTTTTTTACATCAAGTATAACCCCTTTTACCTTCCTCTGTCAACAGAAAATAGATGCTGAAAAGGAAATGATTCGCTTGTGCAGCACTGAGCCAACCGAGTTGAAAGACCTGCCAAAGAGAGTCCCCAAAGATTCTCCACGTTACCACTTCTTCCTGTACAAACATTCCCATGAAGGCGACTACTTGGAGTCTACAGGTACACTGTTCTTTACACGTTGCCGTTGTATTTAGGGCAACACTTTCTTTGACGGGTTGTGAATAATGCACCATCATAAACTTGACATAACACCTGTCAAATAAAATGTTACCGTATTTAGTTTAGTATCTTTTTGGCCCTAATGTCCTTTTTCTCTTTTGCAGTCTTCATTTATTCTATGCCAGGGTACAAGTGTAGCATCCGAGAGAGGATGCTGTATTCCAGCTGCAAAAATAACCTGATTGACATGGTGGAAACCAAACTGCAGATTGAGATCGAGAAAAAGGTGAGAGATGAAGATATCATAATAAACACTTGAGCTAATCTGTGTTTGATTCATAGGTCCTATACATTATTAGAGTTAAGCTTCCACACTTTGCTATAAATTCAAATTTCCAGTTGTCTCTTTTCTTTTAGCTTAATTTATAAAGTGCAAAAGTATAAATTTATGGCAGATAGTGCTACAGTCGATAAGCTTTAAATATGGCTAAACTAGACAAGATGCCAGATGAATAATAGATGGGATGGAAGAACATGCTGAAAGATTTTATTTATTTAGGCAGTAGAACAGAGAAATGGAAATAAAACTATTTTTCTATACTCTATTTTTGCCCAAACGAAAAGGTCAAGAATAGAGTAAGAGACGAAGTCTGTCTCAATAATGTATACATAAATACTATGTAAATAAATGATTGTTTTCCATTTTAAAAAATTGACCCTTCATTAGTGAAATAAATATGAAAACTACATTGATATAATTTTATATAACTGCATTGATTAAAGCAGTTACGGGTGAAGTTGGATATTTTTAAATTAACCAATAGCTGATTAAATCATAATTGAAATGTAAATTTACTTTTAATAATTCAGTTCAACATGTAAAACGCCATATAGATTGATCAGAAGGATCTGACTATTTCAAGCATTCATATTAATAATTATGACTTCCAGCTAAAAGAAAATCTAAATTTACTGCCTCTGAAAATGAGCCATTACCATGAAAATTAGTTGAAATGAAAACTTGAAACAAATCAGCAGGAGAGCTGAATTACTCCTTTGTTGGATTCTGAACAGCTTGAAATGGCAACTCCACCTATTTATAGACTGATACTGGCTTGCCAGGTATTATTATTTTTTTTTTTCCTCTCACAGTTGGAAATTGAAGATGGGGCTGAACTAACAAGCGAGTTCCTGTACGCCGAGGTGCATCCCAAGCAGCACGCCTATAAAGAGCGTTTTGCCAAGCCCAAAGGCCCAGCCGGTAAGAGGGGAGGTCGCCGAATCACCCGGCCACCCGGCGAGGGAGAGGAGGAGGAGGATTAAAACACACCTCAGTATCACCTCCACCCCACACACCCCCACCCCATACGTGTTCCACAGTGGAACATCCCTGTGATGGGTGACGAAAAAATTGTATTTGACGTTTGTTTTGTTAATGTGTTTGTTTTTTCTTTTCCCAACAACCTCAATTTTTTCTCACCACGTTACCCAACTATGCACGCCAAGGAGAACTGAGCAAATGACACCTTTCAGACGTTCCATTTGTAGCTCGCCAAATGGAAATGCGCATCTTAACACACTCACAAGCAGCTTAACTATAATTCACGGAGGCCCAAATAAAAGTTGAGGTATTCTCTTCATGGTCAGCTCTGACACTTAATGAAAACAAAAAACTTCCAAGCACGACTAGTGTGAACTCGCGCCAATATAGAAACAATGCTTTTTTTTGAGTTCATATTCTAATTCCTAAATATCATTCCTTAAGTCTGTGTCAATAATTGTTTTTTTTTTTGTGTGTGTTTGTCTCCTACTGTTTGCACAACGAGGTGCTCCAAAGCTGAAAAAGACCCGAATTATTCCCACGTTGTCGACTCCATTTGTTTTAACAGTGCATTTTTATAAAGACGAAATTCCTTCTTTTTGATATAACTGTGGTTTACATGGGGGAAAAAAAATCATCTGCTGAGAAACTTATTTTTCTATGCAAGTGCTGTAAATGTACATATTGTAGCTGTGATGCTCTATGATTAAGAAGCGGTCTGTTTTTGGTGATTGTCGGTGTGGATTTCAGTGGAAAGACCGGGCTTCCAGAAATATTCCATCTATCTTGTACATCTCGCATTTCACCGAGAGGAAGCAAATAAAAACCTGGTTCCCACAGAGGAAGGAATGCCAAACTCTTATCGGATAGAAAAGGGAATACTACCTTGACGGAAACATTGCCTCATCCACTGGTCTGCTGATTAATATTCGTTCACCACATGTGAAGGGGAAAAAAAATCCCTTTATATTCATTGTCATTAGAGAAAATGAATAATGTTTGTTCTTCTTTGTTTTCTTACAAATCTTTCTTTTAAAGATGAAAAATAAAATATTTAAATCAGACAATTTTGGTCCATTTTTTTATTTCTTCAAAAATAAAACTTCTTTTTACAGCACATAAAAATTTAGCCTGTAAATTAAAAAAAAAATAAAACATTTAAGTATGTCCTCACACTTTTCTTCAAACTCATATCCTCCAAATAACTTTAAAAAGTCATTGATGTGATTCTGTGGATGGGAAGGATCTCCAGTAGCAGTCAGTCTTGCAACGAATCTGGCGATGCCTCTTACTGGAGCTGTTGCTATAAGATGAACTTATGACATGCTAATGGATAAATATCTGTAGCAGAGCTGATATGTCCTGTTGGTAGTCCTCTTCAAATTTTTATGAATATAAATACAGAAAGGAAAGATGCTTAAATGCTGAATCTCTTTCTTTCAGTCAAAGAGACTGAGGTTTTTATTTTAGAAACAAGGAACTTTCTAAAGTCAAAAAGCTGAAAACTTGTCATTCTTTACTTTGGAACAGAGGCAGTGTGAGCCTCTTGTTTCCCTCTGCCTACGATTCCAACAAGATGCTTTTGATGACACTGTGAATCTCTGAAACAACCTGCAGATAAAAAAAACAAACAGAATTTTACTTTAAAAAGCTGCAACAGCTAAAGCAGCAGAAGTGTTTTGTGTTTTATATTCAAAGCATATTCATATTCAAAGCCTTACAAAATAATTCAAACCTCTCACTTTGCATTTTGTCACATTGTAGTCATAACCTTTACTGAAGTTTGATATTGTATGCAGATGGTAACACATAAGAATGAAATGATAAGTTTTCAAAATTCAAATCAAAAATCTGAAAACTGAAATGAATTTGTAGTGATCCCCATTCACTCTGATATTCCCAAAGAAAATCCAGAGGAACCAAATGCCTACCAAATTAGTAAACCAAGTCCCACTGCTTAATTTATTCTCTGCCTCTCTTTGAAGGAGATGTAGAGATTCATTGCTCTTCATCTCGTGTAAAGACTCGCCGTTGGGGTTCCTGAAGAATGACAACCCTAAATGTACAGCGAGAGCGACACCGGAATGGTTTCAGGTCAAAAACAACATGACCACAGGGGAATACGGAGTTGGGAGCATCATGCTTCAGGGAAGTGCTTTGCGCAAGGTAGAAACTGAAGAAACTTTTAGATTTTTGCTGAGGCAAATGAGATCAGTGCATAACATCGGCTTCACGTGTAAGTATCGGCCGATCTCCCAAAAATAAGGAAACTGGCGCCCATAAATCAGCGCAACCCTACTGAAGGTACCTGTTTGATGAACGGCCGCCTGTTTTTTCTGTCGTCCAAGCAGTTGGATGCCAAGCAGTAGATGCTCTCCACCTGGCTCAGCTCCCAGTCTGTCATCTTCCTGTCCAAAAACTGCTCCAGGGTCAGATCTTCGTCGTCATCATCGATGTCGTCCCTGATATCCATCTACGATGGGGCAGAAGGGAAAGACGGACTGAGGTTTTTATTTTAGAAACAAACTGAGAGCAGCTTGTTTCCCGCTAAAGTAAAAGCCTTGTGCACAGCTTACCAGGAACTGGGGCTCCTTGTTTTCATCAGCTGGCGGACGTCCAGACAATATTTCTAACAGCACCTGTAGACACCAGAGCCTTGAGGTTAATTACACGGCTCTGGGCAACAGGCAACCTCTATTTCCTTTCCATGCGCTCCACATCTCCAACCAGAACAGCCCTACTCCCACAGCTGTTCAGATTGAAAAAAAAAAAAAAGATAGTGAACAATACAGCCACTGGCATCCCTCAGAATGAAAAAGGAGGAACTTCCCCAGCAGGAAACTCCATTTTACTCATGCTGTACATCCACTTTTAAATGAAATTACGTTCACTAACCTGGGAAAGCTGCTTATGTATGTATGTACACGGCCTGCCTGGTACGCACTTTTTTACATGACAAACAGAAAGAGCCCTGAGGTACCAGTTTCTACAGGATTCACAGTCTGTAAATCCTAAGAGAATCTGTACAATAAGAAAGGGGGGGGGGAATGTAATTTCAGATAGATGCAAGGAAAAACACAATGAGACCACCAGCACAGCACCACCATGAACTGAAATAAGAGTGAGCCACAACTTTTTTGGACTATGAAAGTGTACACTTTCAGTTCTTTGCTTTCGGGACATGAAAAAAATGACCTAATCTTTACCAGGCTTCAAAATGACTCAGATCTAAGAAGAATCTCTGGACGCACAACAAGAGGGTCCACTTTCTTGTGGACGACTTGTTATTAATTAAACAAACAAAAAAAAAAAAAAAACACAAATGTAATTAATAGTCAATAGTAATCTGTAGGTTTGTAGATTATTTGTTCCACATTCTATTTGGGCTGAGCTTCAGACTCTGATTGGGAAACTGTAACACCATGATAGTTTTTGCCTTTTCAGTAACTCTGTTATGGATTTGCTGCTGTGTCTGGGTTCGTTGTCTTGCCGCTGTTGGACTGATGGCCTCATGTTTGACTCAACTCTGTGCCAGACAGAGGAGTTCATGAAACTCTGACTCAACTGCGTCACCTGACGTATAAATCTCACAGATGTCTTGCATGCCTTTTTAATGCACGCCATTAATGTGACTGCACATCACCACTAAATACTGAGTATGTAGTCGGTGAAAAGAATCTGGACTTGATTATTCAAGTTAAACTACAGATCTTTGAAGTTTCCCAAAAAATAAAACAAAATAAAATATTGCTTAGTTTGCCCTCTAAACCAGCCTGTAGTTTGCCAATTCAACAACCTTCGGTCAAGAGGTAAAACGAAGTTGTATTCCCTTTGTGCATGTGTGTGTCCAAAGCGTACCACTCCGAAGCTGAACACGTCAGATTTTGGGGTGATCTGTCCCCTCAGGGCCTCAGGAGCCATGTACGCACGGGTCCCCACGACCCTCTCCGTCATCATCGTCGTAGACGTGTGCTTGGCCGACGCTCTCGTCAGCCCAAAGTCAGAGATTTTCGCCACAAAGTTCTCATCCAGCAGGATGTTTGCACTAAGAGGATTAAACAAATAGGAGTCACAATGAGCAAAGAAAAAAAAACATCTTAGCTTTTGCTCGAGTTGAAGAAAGACAGTACAGATTTGTGATGTTTATTGTTATGAGTTGGGAGAACGATGCAGTGGATTGATAAAGTACTGATGCTATTGAACGTTTTTTGCACTTTGCCAGAACCATAAGCTATGATGTGTTTAACCAGGATTTTATGCGACAGACCACTGCAACGTACTGCATAATTGTGAAGAAGGTAACATCTATGTATTGCATTTTACAAATCTTCAATGATAGTAATATATGCAGTCAGAACAAATATCACTGAAGTTTGGGTTTGTCATTTGACAAAATGAGTAAAAGTTCAGAGTACAAATAGTATAAAGCAATGTAAATCTCCAGTCTCAGAATTTAAAGATTGTTCAACTATTATTATATAAAAAAGGAGAAAAGCTGCTATTAGAAGAGATGAATATTACACAAAGATTCCAGTCGTCGCACCTTTTAACATCTCTGTGTACATGATGGTTGCTATGGAGGTACTCCAAACCTTTAGCGGTCCCTTCTGTGATCAAGCACCTCTGTCGCCAGGAAAGAGGAGGACTGCCGTCCTATGTAAACAAAAACAAAAGCTAAATCCTGTGCATGGAGTACCATATCAACTTTTCTCCATGCGTTTTTACCAAGCAGGCGAGTCGATCCAGCAAAGATCCATTGGCCATGAAGGCGTACACGATACACAGTTGCTGCTCATCGCATGAGAATCCAACCATGTCAACCAAGTTCTCGTGTTTCAACCTGTCAGGAAAACGTTTTTATCTTTACCTTTACCTTGATTTAGGAAAACAGAAAGCGTAGCATTTTGCGCCGATGGACACAAACTCACACTTTCAGAGTCTGAATCTCTTGGTTAAACTGATCTTGCAGCTTGTCCAGAGGCATGTCATCCATCTGAAAGGGACATCATATGTTCAGCGTGTGAAACAGCGTGTCCTCTTCTACGTAGGCACTCTCACTTACTGGGTTTAGTTTTTTCACCGCCACAGGTCTGTTGTTCAGGAAGCCTTTGTACACAGTGCCGAAGCCCCCCTCTCCGAGTCGGCTGCCACCGTTTGAGACGGACCGGTCGTCAAAGTTGCCCGTGATCTTCCTCAGCTCGCTGTACATAAAACTGGAGACACCTGACAATGGTTGCACAGAAAGTGGATCAAAGGAGTCACTGCTGCCACCTGCTGGTCAAAAATGTACAGTGTACAACGGTTTGAAGTTGCATGGCCAAAGTTTCTGGTGTTTGTTACATAAACTACAAAAGAAGTTTAGGTGTAGTTGTGTTGCATAACTACTGACTTAAGTGGGGAAATATTCAAAGTACTTCAATAGAAGTTTCTGATTACATCTTGCAATAAAAAACAAGTTTAAAAATAAGACTGAAACTTTGTGCAAGAAGATGTAAAAATGACAGAATGTTGAAAGTATTTTGTTTCTGTTATTGCATTATTTAATTGTTTTTAATTTCACATCCCATGAACTGAAATAAGCACAACAGTAACATCAAACTTCTTCAAGCTGTAAATAAGTCTGAAGCTTAAACCCAACCATGATGCTACAGTGCCTCCTTGCAAAAGTATTCATACCTACAGAGCTTACATTTTTGTCGCATCACAACAAATTTTAATATATTTCATTGTCACATATTATGTGACAGACCAACACAAAAGATGACTATGAAATGGAATTAGAGCAACCATTTAAAAGACAGCGCCCCCACACCACCATACTGCCGCCGCCATGAAAAAGCGTCGGCGTCTTGCACGTAGACCAAAAGGTTTAACCTTTGGACTCAATCTGACCTGGTCACTTTCTTGCACATGTTTGATGCGTCTCCTACATTAGCCTGTGCTAAACTGCTAATGAGATTGCTCGTTATTTTCTTGCAAAAATGTTGTTTTCTTCATCTTGCTTTTCCAAAGCACCAAATTTTTGCAGTTGTGAACTGATTCTTTAAATCTCTGCATTCTCATCCCACTTTGTCAAGTTTGTCTATCCCAAAACGTAGTATAAAAACAAACAGAAGCTCAGAGTGAATAAATTCTTCTGCGAGGTGTTTACAAGTAAGTGTTTGGGCATAAGACTGAGCACATACCTGTGTGTCCTGTTAGGCTGTTTCCACTCAGGACTTGTGTCTCCGGTGCTGCTCCGGCAGGTGGATGCTGACTCTGCATCTCATCCAGTGGTCTGGTTGGAGGGTCTCTGTCGGGAGGTATCTGTAAGGGGAGCGGGAGTGTGTCTGCCGATGAATATTCTCCCCCTGTGTCCAAGAAGATACAAATGATGCTGTGTAAATCGCCACTGTTAAATTATTACGTATTATTACTATTGTAATTACCCAGAAGGAAAATGCTGTGTGATTTGTCACCTAATTCTGCACCAAAAGCTTTGATATAATGTCATTTAGATATGTAGGGTTTACGGTGAAACTTTCAAATGAAGTTGAATAAAAAATGTGAAATTTACAATGTGCAATAATAATTCATTACCAGGTAGCAGGAGACTGGCAGCAGCCAACAAACTGCAGCTCTTCAAAATATCCACCAGTTCTCCCACTGTGCAGTTGGTGGTTCCCCAGTCATTCAGCAGCTCCACGGTGGGACTTTTCCCCTGCGTCACCAGACCCTCAAACCTCCTGAAAACACACAGCGACGGCGTTTAACCCCGTTTCGCAAACGTCACAAACAGTAGCGGGAGCTGACGTACCTGACGTGGAGCAGGGAGTACCGCGGCTCCCCGCTCGGCTTCCGTATGGACACAATCACATCCTTCCACCTGTCCTGAGGGTCCAGAAAGTCGGACAACTGGCGGCGGAGACCGTAGCTGATGTTGCGAACGTAAGTAGCGGAAGTCAAAGACCCACTCATCCCGACAAAGAGAGTTTCTGGTGATATCTGCTGGTTTGGTTTTATTTTGTCATAGTTGACAAAATCATCAACACCATCTCATGAAACTGCGGAGGCAGATAAGAAGCGCGTGAATGTGTTGGCCTTACAGAGAAGGGAAATGTCCAATATTGAGCAACTTCCCCAAACGTAACACAACAGGGCTGGCCCACTAAGAGTCCCACCTATAATGCGGAAATACGCACACAAAAAAAAACCCAAACAAAAAAAAAAAAAAACACGAGTAAAAATTAGACAAAGTCAGAGCTGGCTCTTTAGAAGTAATTTATAAAATAATTACCTCCCTAAATTACTGTTTTTGTTATGGTTTGTGATTAAAGCGGAGAAGAAAGAGAATCGCATGCTGTAACGTTTTAAAGGCAAACCGGTAACAGCGCCCTCTGGTGGACATTACTTGTAACTTCCCTTTTTTCATGTCAAAATGCATTCAGGCAGCAAGAGGTTTAATATAGAAACTAATACGTCTAATACATCTATTTTACAGCGCAAAAAAGAGAAAAAAAGTGGCATATCATCAGAGGCGATTAAATGAGACATACACAATTGCTATGTACAAATTTTGGTATTTTAACAACTAAAATAAAATAAATATAAATGCATAATATGATTTCCTGAGCCACTGCAAGGATTAGTGGGTTTAAAAGTTAAATGGACGGATGGAATATTATAATTGCTCAAATAAATTGAGGCAGAGGAAATGTTTTCCCAAATGAATTTTTAACTGAATCCATTTCTTACTGTATGCACTGTATGGCTGTTAGAACAGAGCAAGAGTTTGTCCTTTTATGGATATTTATTTCAAAAATGTATTTAAAAAAATATGTTTTTAACCCAGTTACAGGATTTGGAGAAATGTTTATTTCTATAGCGAAGACTTATTTTAACTGTGGCCCTTTGTAGAAAAATTTGAGTGATTTTATAGCATCTTGTTCAGACTTTAACATTCCAAAACATTTTTGCAGTCAATTAAGTTGTTTACCAAGCTCTGTGACAAGCATACTTAGAGGAATGCTGAGATTCAGTCGAAAAAAAGTTCACACCAACTGTGAAATGATTTTTTTAATTTTTATTACTCATATGAGACCACGACACATGCTAAGATAATTAGTCGCATTTTTATATCAGAAATTTTTCATGTTTGCTTTCATAACAATAGAGAGTGACATAGATTTATGGTTTGTGTAATTGAAGTCCATGCTGATGACAGGGACCATAAGAGCCTGCTGTATATTATTAAAAAAGCAACATTTTTGTCTTTAATGGGTTTTCTCTTCCTTCAACCCACATGGTTTGATACATAACATGCATTAAAAGTAGAAACTTCTTCATATTTAAATCAACACTTACCTCCCCAGGGGTAATAACTGATGTGAAAAGAAGTTCGGAGGGCGAAGACAAATTATTCAACTCGGTGTCTCTGTATGGAATTGTATGACACAGTAAATACTCAGATGTGATGGTCTGGGAAGTGAGGGTGGGAGCAAGGAGCCCTGCAGTTCAGAAACAAAGGCAAAGGTGGGAGAAGTGCCAGAATGACTCAGTTCAGATGAAAGAAGCTCTGCAGGTGGAGGAAGTTAAACTGGTAACTCACATGATGTCCAGGAAAAACCCCCAAGGGATTCCTCTGGTGTGCTTTGTCCACTGTGTTTTTGGTTTTGTCTCAAATTAGAGCACCTGTTTTTAAGTTTTAGTATAACAAAAACAAATTTTGTACAATAAAAAAAATTATGTCGTTATAATCTATCCAGTATTACAGTATATGAGACCCAGAGGGGTTTTGCTACATGGTTATAGTGGTATCAATTCAAACAAAAGAGGCATTAAGCAATTCCATACTTCAAATTGGAGAGCAAAATAATCTGGTATTATCACTTCCTTGGACATCTGTCTACAAATATTGGTTTTATGGTAGTGTGGCTCCCCAGAAAAGAGAAAACATTTAGCATATATCATACGAAACAAGGATACAGTTGCTCTGATTAATTAATAGTCTTGTCGTGAAGGGTAACAGTTCACCCTGGCTCGTGGGAGGTCTCCCATAGCAGAATCCAAATAAGCAAATGAATGGGAGAACTCTGTTAGGGACAGAGAGGAGCGACAGGGGGTAATGGCACCAAATTGGGGTTCAACAGAAGACCCTGTATGTCCACTGCTGGACACTGAAAGCCCTCTGCAGGGAGTCTCTTCTCACACCGGAACACAGCTCTTCCAAACGTTGGGAGATCCGCCGCATGTTAACAGCTTCAGGGTAATGTTTCATTGGCTTGATTTTTTTTTTTATACATCTGAAGTCATGATAACTCTGATAAATGTAGGCTGTAATTTTCAATCTGACACATAGATGGCAGCCTCAAGCTGCACACAGCTGCCCAACCCAGTATTGCCACATGTTTGAGCGCACAGAACATGGTAGATGTGGACGCAACGTCTCAAGGCATAAAAGCAAAGTTCTGAACCCACTGTATTTTTATTTAAAGCTTCAAACGGCGGTTCAGATCTTTTCCAGTTTATTGCAGAAAACACAGGACTCAAAGCAGCATTTACCTTTTGTTTTCTTTGGAAAACATATTTTGGATATGTACCAAGTGATCAGAAGCAATTCCAAGCAATTCATCACAGGAGCAAAAAGGTTGGCACCAGTCTTTTGTGGCAGTGCTCTTTTTACACTCTTTGCCTCTCTTTGCATACAGATGCGCTCACATTTACCAGAGTCCAATGTAAGGCAAACTTTGCACCAAACATTGACTGCAAATAAACTGCAGCTTGTCTGAAAAGTGTCTGGATGGGATTAAGCAATCTTCTAAGTATCAAAGTAAATTTTTTTTATCTGCAGACTGCCCTGAGCAACTAACCTGGCAGCATCTGTGGCATCTCACTGACACGCTGCACTAGATGAATCTGACTGTCGAAGGTTGATCTCTCTCATGCTTCCTCTGAAATCTCTGGCCAAAAAAATCTGAAAATAATTAGTTCAGCTGCATGAGAAAAAAAAGAGCACAACCTCTCTTGCCTTTCTCACTTCTTGCAGCGTTGTTAAATAATTGGACTCTGGGATGTCTGGCAAAACGCCCTCGATAGAATAGCTACAATCATGAAAAAGCCATAATTTCCCCAAAATACATAAGCAAAACTTATCAAATTATGGTTCTAAATTGTGACGAAGGACAAGTTTTTGATTTAATGATGAAATGTGATGACTCAGTGGGCTAGGAACGGTTTAGGAAAGGTTAAACGTGTTATGTCTGGCTATGCATCCAGATTTGTTGAATCTGTACTTTTTAGTAAGTTTGAGATTCATCTGCTGTCTTAATTCTGCTCTTAAAATGACTAGAGTCTGAAATTCATCAGGTCATTTAATGCAAATACTATTTTCTGAATCATTAGATTCTCATCAGTCATACATTGGGCAATGGTTTACAAAAACCGATGACTGTGTTCATGTGAAATAACGCTGTGGATTTTTGATGCATTTCAACGTTTTTCCACCACATTTTACTACTATTGTTGCGAGGGGCAGCCATTTTGAAACGTGAAGTAGGTCTTACGACTGGCCAACTGCTGCGTCTCGTTAGAGTCGCTTCCCCATTCTCAGCGGGAAATCCAACTTTGGAGGATGTTGCAGTTGATTTTTCTGACTGGGAAGTCTGAATTTCCTAGTTTGGACTACTGACTGCCAAAAGAACAGAAGACGTGAACCTTTTTCAATCTGAATAACTGTCTGAAATAATAGTAATGCATAGATTGTAAAGATCTATAAAATAAGATTCACTTAAACTGTTCCCAGTTTTTTTCTTCCACCATTTTGCTTTTATAACAGAGAATTGTATACCAATGTATACTTTCTAAACTTTATACTGTATGACAGTATAAAGTTTAGAAAGAAAAGCCCAAGACTCTTAACATCACAGTTGTCTTGAGGTGGAAAAAGGTCTGCTTATGTCTTTTCAAAACAGTTATTGTCTGCAAGTAAGATATAACCTCAAATCAATTTCACTACATTTCGAGACAGGACATTTTAGCCATGTTACATCTTATGCAGCAGAACATTAGCAAAGTTCTGGTAAGCTTAGATGCTGCATCCACCAAAGAAAAACAAAACCAGAGCACGACTTTACAAATATTAAGTAACGAGGGAGTAAGTATTTGCAGCTGCTGATGCTCAGGTTGGAGGTGAACGGAGCAATGAAGGCCCTTTGTGGTACTAAAACACAACTCGATGGACAACGCAGCAAAAAACAAACAAACAAAATACAGCCTGTCTAGAAGAAGCATTTTATCTGCGGTGACGTACAATAAATGATTAGTTTGGCCTTTGAGGAGTCAGGGTTCATGACTCCGACATCTCAGCTACTCTCCTTTCATTCTTACTTGTGCCAAGCAAGTTTACACAGAAATGCCAAAACACTCGAGAGATATTTGCTTTGAGTTGTCCAAAGACGTGTGGAAGAATTCAACACCAGGTGGCCAGGGACGTTAATCTGACCTCGCCTAGACACGAAACAGTTTTTTCTCCCCCCTTTAATTGTTTACACACTCCTAATTTGTTTAAGATTTGCTGATCTCTCATTTTCTTTGGCCTTTGGTTGGTTAAACATCCCAGAGCAAAGCGGAGGGGCGGCCCTGATTACTCACCACAAGCTGCGTGGAAATTTCAAAGCAGGTGTGGGAGTCCGGCTGCGAGTCCTTGGAGATTTTCCCTGCTCATGAACGAAAAGAGACTGCCAGAGGATGTTTATTCTTTAAACTATGAAACAAAAGCTCCGTTTTATTTGTTCCTGAGCTAGAAGCTGTTGATGGACAAGGTATGAGGGCTTCACCGAGAGATGCTTTTTTGCGCTTTTTCATGTAACAGTGCAAAACATTGTGAACTTAGTATAAAGTGATGTGAAATATGAAAATTAAAAAAATGTTAAAACCCTTCTACGGATGCTTCTAAATACCTATTTTTATAGTTCACATACAAAATATGGCTTCACATGCAGCAATAGAAACATTAATAGCTCTACTCCAGCTATAGTCGTCTTTATTTCTGCTCTTGGGGTGCAGCCAAACACCACCCAGGAAAATAAATTACTTTTTGATTTGGCTGCTTTCCAACCCCCACCAACATCATGTGGCGTTTCAGCTTCCTAAGCGGCATTTTCGTTCAAATATTTTAGATTTGCTCCATGGGGAAATCGATCTGGATTTTCCGTGAATAATTTGGAGTCATGTTCCACGGAAAACTCCACAAATAGGTGAATCCGCAAAAACCGAAAGTATACATTTTCTGAA